ATCCATTATGTTAGTAAATATTTATTTAGAGTTTATTGTGGGCTAAGCACTCATGTAGGGGTTTGATGATATACAACAAAACATCTCTGTTTTCTACTCTTGTGGGGTTGATGTTTAATTGGAGAGATTATGTTGCTGATAGTCAGCTGGGAAGAGACTGATTGTAAATAATTATATAAGAAAATTCTAGAGAGAGACAAACCTGGAAGAAGGAGGAGGAGTGGTGAGAAGAAGAAAAGCAGCCTCTAGGTAATGTTATGGGGAGGTGAATTCTCCTTCCAGCATAATCAGGGCTGTCTGGTTGGGAGAGATACATCTTTGAGGATCCTAGGATCCTAGCAACAACCAGATCTCCAGAGTTGCAGAACTTTATCATAAAATAAATGTATTTGGATCTAGTTAATGAGAATTCTGAAGAACCAATCTTGAAGAGTAATAAAATGAAAAGAGACTGGAAAATAGGGGACATGGCTCATTTAACACCATGGAACTCTGTGTCCAGAAGGCAATGCTGTTAGCATAGCTGCTGAATTCTTGGTTCCATCTCTACATTATCAGCACTGCAGCAAATAATCTCTCATTATTCCCACATCTTTGGATAAGTTCTTCAGATTCAAAGTCTTAGCAGAAAGCATCTGATTGTTGCAATATAGGGCGAAGGCCCATACTTGGCTACCAGGAAGCAAGGTTTTGCTTTCACTTTCTCTTCTAGTGCGTGCATTGGAGCCTAGTCACCAATCATGATTTACATAGTATAAAATTTTGCCAAACTGATAGTCCAGGTACTGGCAGCCAAAAAAATCCCCAACATTATTTATTGATGCTGGAGCCCATTATTTGAACTTGGATAGAGAAGAAGGCTGTCATGCAGAGATTAGAAACAAGTGAAAGAAACAACAATTACAAAGGCAAGAATGAGACTGAAGCATTCAAAACAAAAATGGACGCCAGAGTTTCTGCAACAATGTTTGATGTATGCTGTTTTTGAGATGTTCTTAATCATATAATATGATTATACAATTTCTCGATCTAACACCAAAAGAGTAATAATTATATGAATGCTTGGATAAGCTTAAAGAATTATATTAAACACTTTTTATTTTGCATCAACTTGCTTTTACCCTTTACTTAATAAATATGGTGATATTCACTAAAATATCTTGATATTAGATTATTTATTTTGATACACTCAATTTGATTCCTTGTTATTTTATTCATAGATTAAAAATCTATAGTCAAAAGAAAGATTGAACTTCACTTACGTTAATGCTCTATCATGTTTTAGAAAAGTGAATAATTCTAGATTTATGAAATCTTTTATTAAAAATATTTCCTTTTCATGATCTAGATCAAACCATATAGCATGGGATGTATATACATATATATATGCTTTTTCACTTGAAAACAGTATATTATAAAAATATCTGTGCATAGCTTTTAGTTCACATGTTTCATTGACTACTGACTGGGTATGACTGACAGGTATGAGCTCTGGTGGCACCTTCCTGTATCCCCCCAGGCAGAGCTTAAGGGAGCTTCAGTGTCTCTAGGAGCCAAAGAATAAGTTTGGGGTCTCCAAGCTCTCTTGATTTTACTAGTACTGTTGGTGCTATTATAAGATTTGAGTTTTCAGAAATGTCCATTTGTCTTTCTTGACCTGAAAATTGACTTACTTAATTTGGATCCTTGAGAGGATTATTGCCAGCTACATAAATATTCTGGCAACTGATTCCCACATAATTACACATTTGATTCTTCACTTCCTTCATTGACTGATGTGCTATTTCAATAATAATTTATGAAACTTTCTATTACATGAGTATAAGCCGTGGAGTCTGACTGTCTCCAATTGATTGCTGACCCATATGCTTACTAGGGTCATGCCCTTGGGAACATGACTTAACTTTACTAGGTCTCAGTTTCTGCATTATAAAATGATGATAAAAAATGTCATCCAACTCATAGAGTTTTACTTTAATATTTAAACTAATATATGGTAAATTACTCTTCATGTATATGATTCTAGGAGTTTTATAACCACAGTGAAAACCAGAATACAGATCACTCCCATAACCCCCAAACACTCTCTCTGTTACCTTTTTGCATTCATACTGAACTCCTGACAACCACTGATCTTTCTGAGAGCATTTTACAATAGGGATAATAAAATATATAGCCTTTTGAGGTCAACTTTCTCGCTTAATATACAGCCTTGGAGTTTCATATAAAATGTTGTGTGCATCAATAGTTCATTCATTCTTTTTTTATAGATGAGTAGTATTCAGTTATTTGGATGTAACATTTTATTTATTTTTTATCCATTAGCTCATTGAAGGACATTTTAGTAGCTTCCATCTTAAGGTGATTTTCAACAAAGCTCCCATAATGTTCCTATACAGGTTTTTGCATGAATATAAGTTCTCATTGTTTCAGGGTAAATATATCTAAGAGTGAAATTGATGGGTAATATAGTATGTATATGTTTTTGAGAACTGCCAAGCTGCTTTCCAGAGAGGCGCTGCTGTTTTGCATTCCTACCAGCTGTATATGACAGAGCTGTTTTCCATTCTCATTGGCACTTGCTATTGTCATTATCTTTTTTATTTTAACCATTCTAGTAAGTATAGTGATATCTCATATTGGTTTAGTTTGCATTGATCTAATGACACTGAGTATCTTTTTTAGGCAGTTATTTATTATACATATATTCCCTTTGGTGAAGTGTCTGTTGCTCATTTTAAGTTGGGTTGTTTGATATTTTTACTGTTTAGTTGTTTTTTGTTCTTTTTCCCCCCTAAATATTCTTTGTTTTTGAAAGCAGTTTTAGATTCACAGAAAAATTGAGTGGAGAGTATATGGAACCTGTCCCCACATACACAAAGTATCTCTTGCCTATCAATATTTCCCACCACGTTGGTACATTTATTACAATTAATGAACCTATATAGATACAGCATTATTTTCCAAAAGTCCATAATATAGGGTTCATTCTTAGTGTTATACATCTATGGTTTTGACAAATCTATAATGACATGTATCCACCACTGGGATATTATACAGAATATTTTCAGTGTGTTAAAAATCCTCTGAGCTCTGACTATTCATCCCTTTCTGCCCACTAATTAACCCTGAAAACCGCTTATCTTTTTACTGACTCCATAGCTTTGTGTTTTCCAGGATGTCATATGGTTGGAATCATACAGTGTGTACCTTTCTCAGATTGACATCATTTATTTAATAATATGCACTTAAGTTTCCTCCATGTTTTTTCATGGCTTGATAGTCCATTTCTTTTTTTACTGCTGAATAATACTCCATTTGCTGGATGAACCACAGTTTACCCATTCATTTACTGAGGGACATATTAGTTGCCTCCAAGTTTTATTAGTTATGAATAAAGCAGCTATAAGCATTCATGTGCAGGTTTTTGAATGGATATAAGTCTTCAATTCATTTGGGTAAATTTTAAGAAGCAAAATTACAGGATCATATAGCAGGAATATGATTTATTTTCTAAGAAACCATCAAACTGTCATCCAGAGAGGCTGTTCCATTTTTCACTGCCACTGGCAATGAATGAAAATTCCTGCACCTCCATATCCTTACCAGCATTTGGCATTGTCAGTGTTTGGATTTGGCCATTCCAGTAAGTATGTTGTTGTATGTTATAATTATTTTAATGTGCAGTTCTTTAATGGCACATAATATTGAACATTTTTTCATATGCTTACTTTCCATCTGTGTATCTTTTTTAGTGAGGTGTCTGTTAAAGTCTTTGCTCCATGTTTTAATTGGGTTATTTGTTTTTCTTGTTGAATTTTAGAGTACTTTGTATATTTTCAACAACAGTTTTATCAGATTTGTATTTGTGAATACATTTTCCTAATCTGTGATTGTCTTCTCATTCTCTTGGCACTGTCTTTCACAAAGAAGTTTTTTTTTTCTTAACGGAGGACAGTTATCAATTATTTCTTTCATGTATCATGCCTTTGGTGTTGCATCTAAAAAGTCATCACCAATACCAACAGTATGTAGGTTTTCTCATATACTATCATCCACGAGTTTTATATGTTTACATTTTTCATTTAGGTCTTTGATCCACTTGGGGTTAATTTTGTGAAGACTGTAAGGTCTTAGTCTAGATTCTGTTTTTGCATATGGATATCCACTAGTTCCAGCACCATGTGTTAAAAAGATTATCTTTTCTCCATTGTATACTCTTTGCTCTGTTGTCAAATATCAATTAACTGTCTTTGTGTGGTCTAATTCCTGTTTCATTGATTAATATGTCTATTCTTTCACCAGTACCACACTATTTTAATTACTGTTCCTTTATAGTATGTCTTCAAGTCAGATAGCGTTAATATGCCGACTTTGTTCTTCTTTCAATATTGAGTTGGCTATTCTGGGTCTTTTGTCTCTCCGTATAAATTTTAGAACAAATTTTTCAATTACTTTTGAATATTGAGAGTTCTTTATATATGCAAATATAGGTGCATTTTTAATAAGGTAATTTTCAAATGGTTTCTCCAAGTCTTTAGTGTATCTTTTCATTCTTTTAAAATTGCCTTTCTCAGAGTAAAATTTTTAAATTTGGTTAAGTCCTGTTTATCAATATTTTATTTTATGGATCATGCTTATTGTATCCTGTGTAGTTTTTTCCTATGTTTTCTGTTAACATTTAGAATTTTACATTTTACATTCAGATCTATAATTCATTTGGAGTAAATTTTTACAGGTTGTAAGAATTGGGTCGAGGTTCATTATTTAGCTCACATTTTCATTTTTCCTACATTATTTGTTAAAAAAAAAACTATCCTTTCATTGAATTTTTCTGGCACTTCGTCAAAAATCAATTGTCCATTTTTGTGTGAGTCTATTTCCGGACTCTCTTTCTGTTCCATTGATCAGGATAGCTATCCTTTTACCCATACCATACTGTAATATGGGTAATATATTATAAAATCTTGTGATAGTTCTCCTCCCACTTTATTCTTTTCTTCTTGTTGTTCAAAAATTGTATGTTTTATTCTTTGATTTTTCCTTATAAATTTTAGAGTAAGATTGACTATCTGCAAAAATCCTGTAGGACTTTCTTTATTGGAACTGCATTAAATTTATACATCAATGTGGGTTTAGTTGCCAACCTTACTATGTTGAGTCTTCCAATTCATGAACACAGTATGTCTCTTCATTTATTTTGGCCTTTTAAAAAATTCTTTCATTAGTTGTTCTTCTTTTTGTAATTTTCAGAATATGGATTATATCCATACTTTATTTGACTTGTCTAAGGTTTTATTTCTGGAGCTATTACAAATGGTATTATTTATTAATTTTAGTTTCCCTTCTTCATATAAAGAAGTACAGTTGATTATTGTATGTTGAACTGTATCCTAATCCTTGTTAAACTCACTTATTAGTTCTAAGGGTATTGTATTATTATTATTATTATTATTATTACTTGGAATTTTCTATGTAGATAGTCATATCATTTGTGCAAAGGAACATTTTCTAATTTATGCCTTTATTTTGTTTTGTTGCCTTATTGTACCAGTTAGGACTGTTAGTATGTATGACATTGGATAGGAATGTTAAAATTGAATATCCTTGCCTTTTTTCTAATTTTATAGGGAAAATTTTACTATTAAGTATAATGTTAGTTGCAGGTTATTTTTATAGGTGTCCTTTATTAAAATTAGGGAGCTTCTTTCTATTCCAAGTGTACTGAGTTTACCAGTTTTTTTTTATCGTGAATATATGTTGAATTTTGTTAAATGCTTTTTCTCCATAAACTTATTTGAGGTTTCTTTAGTATTTTAGTATGTTCACTCTGTCATGATGAATTACACTGATTGAGCTTTTAAATGAACCAGTTTGACAGTTCTGAGCCAAATCCTACTTCACCATAATATATTATTCATTTTATCTATTGCTAGATGCAATTTTCTAATATTTTCTTAAACTTCTCACTCCTGTATTTTTATTGGCCTGTAGTTTTTTTGTTTTGTTTTGTCTCATAGTTTCTTTGCCTAATTTTGATAATAGTATTATGCTGGCCTCACAAAATAAGTTAAGAGTGTTGTCTCTTTCTATTTTCTGGAAGAGATTATATAGAACTAGTACTACATTTTTTTTAGATGTTTGATAGATTCATCAGTTAATATGTGGTCTACAGATTTCTTTTTAAGAAAGTTTTAAGTATGAATTCAAGTTCTCTAAATAATAAGACTCTAGATTCCCCTGTACTCTATCCACACCGATGCCCATATCTGGGTTTCAAGCTGCACTGACTTTAAGCCAAGGATACTGAGGGGGAAAATACGGTAAAATCACTACAAATTTGGTTGTAACTCAAATTTTTGTCGTCTTTCTTCTTCCTGCTACTTTTTTACTTCTTCTAGTTTTCAAAGAGCTACTACACAAATTCTGCCCAGGTTTCTTAGCTTCATTTAGTGGAGAGACAGATTGTGGAGTGTGCTTTCTTCTTACCTCGATCTGAAATAAAAATTACAGTGAGTTATGGGATAAGGCATTAATACATGAAAATTTCTTAGTAGTGCCAGAAAAGTAGTTAGGACTCAGTGAAGAGCAGTTATTATCATTATTATTATTACTATTGCCCAGTACAGAGTTAAGGACTGGGATGAGTTTTCTGCCTTCATGAAGCTTAAATGTTAAAAGAAGAGATAGATATGAAAAAAACACAAAAAAATTGAGTTATAATTTTTAGAAGTGCTATCAAAGAAAAGTAGACAGTGATGTGACAGTCAGGATATCATTTTTGAGTGAATTAATTTTCACAACTATGCATTCATGTGATTGTTAATTATTGAGAATCACAACACATATTTTGTTTATTCAAGGAGCTATACACTCAGTGTATTTTGTAATTTCATGCAAAGTTACAAAGCAATTGTATTTTATAAGACCTTTTACTCTTTTATTTAATAATTAAGTGGCTTTATTTTAATGTCTACTCTCTGTCAGGTATTATATTACATTTTTGACTCAGGTTTTCTTAGCACTTCAATTATATTATCTGATTTTCATAATTTACCATAACTTTTGGCAAGATAGATTCCTGAAATGCAGCCAGTCCACCAATATTAAGCAATGCATACAAACACTTAGAGTGCTGAGTTGAACATGGGGGGAGGCTGGATTAACAGCAGGACCCCAAAGCCGCTCCTCTATGGTGACCTGAAATGGAAGGGTCCCATGCAAATTGAGTAGAAGGAATGCTGTTAAAAGACATATGCAAGAACCTTCAGGTTAGATCCTGACTACTGAACAGAGATCTACATTAGTTATATTGACAGAGACAACAGCAGAAAGTTGGCCTCCCAGATGTGAATGAATAAACCTGCACTCTGCCTATATTTACCTTTTGGAAACCAAAACAGCACTACACTAATATGTCAAATAGAAACTCCCTGTATATGCACTGCTTACATACACTAAAACAGATTTTCAGTATTATGAAATAGTAGGAAAGAGGCTTTATGCAGAATTAATCTACTATAATGCTTTGTTGAATTAATTTTAAAAAATGATTTTAAATCCATTGAAGTCAAAGTTCCTTAAGGAAGCCATTTTTCTTTCCACTAAAGGCCTTTGGACATGCTCCCCAAGATTTTACTTACGTTTTACCTAAATTTGATTTTGTCACTCAAGACTCACTACCTCAAGGAAGACTACCCTGAATGACCACCCGAGTCAGGGATATTGCCTTCATAGATTCATAACTTCTTTAGTGGCACTTAACCTATATCTATTTTGTTCTCTATTGTATTCCCAATGCTGGAGCTTAGTAGATCCTTATTAAATAATTAATAAATGGTATAATTAGCCACAAATAATTATGGGGCACTTTATAAGCATTAAACCCTCTCACAGAATGAACGAATATGATTTGTATGCTCAAGATGTTCATACATTATTATGGAAAGACAATTAGGCAAGAAAATAAAAATGCCTGGTTCCATCTTTGCTGTCATAAAAATATGAACTGACAGTGGTAAGCCTGCCAAGAAGAGCATGGATAGCCTTCTGAGTAGAATAAATGAAAGAGGTTGACAAGAAAGACATCACAGAAAAATGATCATTGAATTAAAACAAAAAAAACACAAACATATATTATATATATATATTTTTTCAGAATATATGTAAGCATGTATTGATATATAAATGTAAAAGGGTTTTATATGCTTTATTCATTATTTATGTGTAATTATAACATATGGAAAATGTGTATCTATGCATTTTTAATATACACATATGTAACATGTAACTTTAACACTAACAGCCTAGCAGTTATTATAAGTCACCTCCTGCCACACATACATAATAGTGTCACAGTTCAATGATGACATCTTCAACATATGCTTTCATCATACGCTAAGAGAAATGTTCTGTATATCATTTTTATTTTGCCTATAATTTAACTAGAGTATAGCTATGACTTTTACTTCCCACAGGCAAAAATTTATTGTAATTAAACCTACATCTGAAAAAATTTATATAAAAAAATTGAATCCATGATCCAGTAAATATTATTTTGGCATGCTCCTTAACATTTGCCAGTCTTCTTTGTAAGATAATATGGACCTGAACTTTTAATACTCTCCCAGAGAAAAGAGAGTCTTTCAGTATATTACTTATACTGATCATTTAAAGAAATAACCTGATATTAATAGGGTGAATTTTGTCTTAGACTTAAATTGTCAGTCTGTCTTGACCTTTTTAACTATTCTAGTGTTATAGTCTCTCAACTATAATCTCAGTTGTTTTACTCTAATTCCATTCTCTTGAATAATGATGAGATGTATTCAACCACATTTTAATGGAAGCATTCTGCATAGCACCCAGAGAGAATATTTTTATTCCTTCATCTGGGTATCACAGAAATGTAGTGACAGCAGTGTGACTGAAAAGCAACATATCTTTAATTAAATTTGCTGTTATTTACCCTGTCTGTGAAACTCAGATATTATTTTGGCTAAAAAAGAGCAACCATGAATCCTAAATTTCACCTTTGCTTTTATATTGTTAACAGAAGTTTATTGAGCTGAAAAAGGAAAATTCTGAATTTTAAGAGCAGACTGTCTCAGAGCTTTTCTCTTTTACCTTATTAAGCCTGAATAAACTGGAATGTGTTCACGTAAAATTGTGGGGAAGGCATTTTATTTATTGGCCTGTTGGAGATCTACAGGAGCAGGGAATTATGACACATTTAGATGAACTGTATAGCATGACACCTGTGCTGACAGAAAGTGAGCTAACTCAACATAAAAGAGAAAAATGAAAGCAATGGCCACTTTGTGAACTTGGTAAGCCTGTGGGTTAAACTTCTGATTTTCCTTGTCTTCTTGCTGCTCCATTTGATGGCCTATATAAAGTCCTAGATGATTGAAAACATCTCATCATATCATTAAAGTTAAAAGATGTATTTTAAGATGAGCCTATATCTCTTGGGGAATAGACTATAAAACCATTATGGTAAAATTACCTATTTTATATTGGAAAGCATGTTGGCAGGTGACTCAAAGTTTCTCCATTTTTTTTTACATTACTGATGGTGTCCCAATAATTTCCTTACCAAATTTTATAACTAACACAATGGAACTTTAATATGGCATATGGATACTTCAACATGTATTCTTTTTAAGCACTTAATATTTGAATAAATTATCATGCTGACCTTCATGCTATAGTAAGCCATCAAATGTTAAGTAATAGAGGCACAGGGAAGAGACTGTTTCTCATTTTTCTGTGAAATGTATAGAAATTCACAGATTGATTGCCCAGCACGCAGCGGAAAATAGTTATGGTTATCTTAGTTTACTAGCTGTGGTCTCTTTTCAGAGATCCATTTGGAAACTCTTTAACCGTCTTACATTGCAAGATGTAAGCAAATTAAATACAACATGAAGGAATAGCTTTGAATAAAGATAATGTTTCCCCACACTTGTTCTATAAAAATCCTTTACAGTTATTGGCACTGTTTTGCGTTTACAATACCTTTGTCAGAAAGGAATACATTTTGTGAAGGTAAGATTTGGTAATGAACTCCTCAATCTGAGCACAAATACATTCATTGAAATACTAATTTGAAGTCCCCTTGCTGTAGGTATCTACTTAGTAATAGGCCTACAGTATTTTTAACTTGAAATTTGTAAGGAGAATAGATAATTAAGACTTCTTAATGTATGTAATAAAATTGAATATGTAGAATAAGTACCAAAAATTATATCAGGTACCATTACAGATAATACATAATAAACACTAAATTTTGTATTCGTTTCCAAATACTCCTTTTAAGAGAATTAATAAAACCTTTGGATATGAAATACCTCAATGTTGGTCACAGCCAGATTTACTTTTTTTATATTTCTTTGCTGCCTATCCTGGTTGTAATCTGTGTCACATCCTTTGCTCATTTTACCACCTTTCTTATTAGAAATACCTTTATGTAGTAGAAAAGATATAGTTTATTTGAAAACAGTAGTTCATGGTTCATACATAAGCCCATCCATTTTTTGTTTATTTCTGATTTTTCTACTGCATCATAATGTCTTGGTAATATGCCATAAAAAACATAGGTATATTAAATTTATACCCAATCAGTGATGCAGATTTTGGTCAATATTTTGAAAAGTATGCAATAGTTTTGAAAACAGTGGTATAGATTCTAATCATAAAAATGACTGCTTTCTTATTATAAAAGTAATTTAACATATGGAGAATGAAAATTAAAAAATTCATATCCATTTGACATTCACAACCAGACAATAATTGGTAAACTTTTTTCAAAGCTTTACAATTCATGGTGCTTTGCAAAAGTCACCAATATCCAATAATATCTAGATATCAATCTGTTGTTTCATGTAAGTACAGTTTTAATCATAGACTGTTCTTCCATTGTGAAGAATTCGCTTTTCCTTCTTGTTTGAAATAATACAGTTGATTTAGTATTAATCTGCTCTTCTTCCTGTCATAGAAACCAAAGACAGATTTGGCTGCATACAACTCCCCTGCCGACAATTCCCCATGACAGAGACCTGTGTCACTTTTCTTATTGTTATACAGGAGCTTTTCTGAATACATATTGCAAGTTATGGCAGTTGTGATGAATTACCCAAATTTGAGATGACATGTGGAAAGTTATAAAAAGTTTCCCTTTCTTGTACTTTTTTCATAGTGTTAATCCAGCTGATATTTATTTATATGTGTGTGTAGATGTATATATATATGTGTGTATGTATGTGTGTATATATACTCACACATTTATATACATATACAGTAAAATTCTACAAAACCTTGTTTGACTTTTGTCACCTGCCTAATATAAATTATATATACCATTTTCAATATTTTTGTTCACACCCATTTAAGAATCTCCAAAGCCCCACAATAAAAAACCTAAATGCAGCTCATAAACTCTCCTCTATATGACTGTTCTTACCCCATCTCTCTTTGAAGATTACTAATTGTTTTAGTCATAACAATAGTCTACCTATACTAAGACTCTGATGCTCAAACTTTAATATACCTAAGAATCATGTTAACCTATTTAAATCAGATTCCCACATGATATCCTTAGAAATTTACATAGGTACATGTCAGTTGCAGCTCAGGAATCTGATAATGAAGCCCTCCAATTAGACGGTAGGCATCTTGAGGGAAGAAAGAGGTTTCATCAATATGTTTACTCCTGGTGCTTGACACCATTGTTGACATACAAAAGCCACCATAATTGCTTGTCAAACTGAATTAAGATAAATATTCAGAAAAAAATTAGCTTAGTGTTATTTGTTATATTCCCTGTTTGGAATACTATTATCCCAGGTAGAATGTGTCAGAGTTCTGAGGCTAGGATCTGGTGAAAATGTGGACTTGGAGTGTTCTCCTCCTCACCTTTCCTTTAATCTTATTAAATTCACATAACATCTGTTGAACACCCGTCTAAATCCTAGGCTCTGTGCTTCATGCTATGGTATCAAATTGTATAATGTTAATTCTTCACCTTCAAGATATTTACAAAATAGCCTTAAAATAACATAACAGTTTATAATAGAGAATGAACAGAACATTTTAGAAGCATTGAGAAAGGAAGGCTGAGTACAGTTGGAGCCTCCCTTAATATTAAAACCTCAAAAATCAGCATAGTGTCATATTATTGATACTAATAGGAATAATCCTCCAGGCCAATTCTTCAAAGAATTTGATGGCATTAGAAATTGTCAATATACTAACAATTTGTTATTAAAATGAATGCATAAGAACTCATACACTCTATGCTGCTCTTACTTATTTACATTTTAATTTGTATACTCATATAAATTATGTCTTTAATCTTAATGTCCTCTAACATTTCCTGTAAGAATTCATGATTTTAATTGTTTAAGCACATGTCCAATCATCTGTCTTTTACACCAGCCTTTATTTGATTAATCACTCAGAAACACCTCCTTTCTCCCTGCCTCATCCACTGGAACTTTCCCTTAAAAATCAAACATGTCTATTTTCATTAAAATGTGTATTCCCCTTCCTATCACTCCTTTTTTTCCTCAGTGGATCCTTTCTTTCTCCATTATTATAGTTGTGATGACATAATCTCAACACATTCAAATATTTGCAAAGGCCCTTATTATGGCTGACATTTATAACCCCAATTCCTACCTTAATGAATTCTCACGGTGCGTAATTTTGTAGAAGGCAGCTATCCATCTCCAGTGGTAGAGGCAGAAAGAGCAGATCCTCCCTCATCCCAACCTTGACAGCTAAGGGACAGGCTTGTGACCTCGGTTTAGTCAACTGGATTCTTCCACTTTAGACTTGGATTTTACTAATGAGTGACGTAAAGGGAGAGGGAGTGTCAGGAACATGTTGTCACATGGCAGCATCCTGACCAGATTACGTGCTGAGCAGCAACTTCTAGTGCACTGTCTTTTGTTCCTGCTAATTTCACTATTGTGAGATCAGCTTCAATAATGACTTTTAGCTTAAAACAGCCTAAGTTTGGTTGCACCACTGCAACTAAGAACTCTAAGTTGGTTTTTAGTTGGTGAGAATAAGCACCAGTTATGCTTGGTATTTTTTTGCTAATGTTGCATTTTTATTGATAGAATAGATCATTTTATGGCATCTTAGCTATGATTATAGAGTGGAACAGATATGGACATTGTTTTTTGCACTATGCTAAAGTTTTTAAATAATTATATATTTTTATGTCAAATATACTGTGAATATATAAAAATGTAAATAGACCTAGTTGAAAAGTTAGCACTGAAGATACATACAAACTCAGCATTTGCCTATGCCAATAATATATATTTAAATAACCTGTATTATTGTCAGTTTTAATGGTATTTTATTTCAGCTGCATGTAGCAGCTTGGTCTGTTTGCTGCAGTCAGTATGTATGATTCTTATTGCTTTAAGTTGTGTTTACTATGCCCTTATACCAATTCATGTATTTAAATGATAATGTTTTACTTGGGCTAGTTTCAGAGACCAATTTTCCCACAAAAATTACTACATTTGACAAAGCAGGTTTAGAATCCAATAAAATAATCATCTATTAGCTTTAGAAATTGCATGTCATTCAAGATCAAGGGGTAATTACGAATATAGTTTATTTCCTCCAGGTAAGTCATTGCAGCAATTTTCTTACTATTAGGGTCCTTCATATTGTTGTGTCCTGAGAACTATATGTAGAGTTTAGTGAAATATGAAAATACGACTCCATGGAGTTCAGCGGAGCTCTATGACTATACCCAAGCCCCAACTATCAGTCTATATACACATTTGACATTTATAAATCCTTTTATCTCCTAAGAGGTAATCACACTAAAGATAGAATAAGAGGAAAAACAAAAGGTATATCCAGGCTTTTATTCATTATTTCCACGGGCTTATCATCTTTTTCATTTTTCACTTTGTTTCATATTTTCATGTTGATTCTTTACCTTTTGCTTCCACCTGTCAGCTGTAGGGCTTTCTTATTTGTGTGGAGTACTTTGGATAGGAAAAAGAGTACATAATAGGACCTAATAGTTCCAGGTTGGGAAGAGGAAATTATAACTGTTATTCTTCTACTTACAAATCTTAACACAATATCAACTTTGAATGAATAATATTTATTGTATTCCTGGCAGAGAACATGGTACTTAGTAGTTATTCCAGAAAGATTAATACTTTCTCACCTATTTATATTAAGGATAAATAAATAGAAAATAAAAACATGTTTGTGAATTGAAACTATTCACAAGTAATAGGATAACATTCCAAATATCTGGGTCAATAATAAAATATACATATATATGCTATAAAAAGCAAGTCTTATTTTCACTAGCAAAGATTATGTGCTTGTCTTGATTCTTCTCTGTTATTTCAGCTTCTTCTGATATTTAGAGAATAGAGTTATAACACTTTTTTTATAAGTAGAATCATGTCTCTAATTTGTCTATTTAAATCTGAAACCTTAAAAGAATAAGGTTAAGCAAGCATTTTTTTAACTATGGCTTAATAATGTTTTCTGTTAAATTTGACAAAATTTTAATAAAGTAGTAAAAAGGAAACAGAGTACACTTGAGAATAATTGAAAAAAATAAACAAAGTTGGAGAGATGGGGATATGTCTGGTAGAAAAGTGAGGAGACAGAGTGTGGAGTGGAGTGTCATGAGTGAGGATGAACTGTCATTCAAATGGAGAGTCTGCCAGACTTTGAAGGGCATTTTCAGGAAGTCATTTCATCTTCTTTATGCAATGGGAAGTCTTTACAAGATTTTGAGGATGGGATGTCATGATACAATTTATGTTACAGAAAGGTAACTCTTCCATGAATGATGAAGAAAATACAGCCACATAATTTTAGAGGGTTGGTACTGGGGATAAAATGGACTCAGATGTGAATACACTATTTGGTCATAGAGGAAATGATTTTACATATTTTTACTATTTACAAATTGGGCCTCCTGGAATAAAACATATCTTCTCAGCAAAAAAACACATGGGTGATCTCCTATACTGATATGCTGGTAAGCTCTAAGCAATACCAAGATGATAGTAATTTTTAATGATATATTATTATAAGTACTTTTGTCAGAGGTCAATCTCCCTAAGATCAGCACAGACTTAAAATATTCATAAAAGCCTTTGATTTGGAATATAAATAGCAGAAAATGAAAAATTGTATCTTTAGGAGACAATGATGTCATGGTGTTGAGTAAAGGAAAGTAGAATAAAGAGTAATTATTAGTAAGTAGCAAAAGGATAGTGAATGTTTTTTCCTTGTCCTACAGTGTTTCGTGCCACTTTTTATACACGTAGCTCTCTAAGCCACTTTCCAGACAGCAGAACACATTAAATGCATTTATGATTTGTAATTTAAAACTACAGTTGTGCGAAATTGCAGTTTAAGCTTGTATGGATCCATACCCATTGAGTTTGAATTAAGATTTACAAATATGTATTAGGTTTGATAGGACAGTCATTGAATGAAAAATACAATTTATGGTACTGAAATGCAGCAAAAATATGAAATTTAAAATATGTATGAAATCTTTCTCAACAATATGCTGATTAGATTTTAGGCAATGCATAGAGGACATTTCAGTAATCAGTCAGGGTGTGTATTCTGAATGCCATGATACTGAGTTTCTTAATTTAAAAATAAATTGGAGGAACTTATTCTAGAAGTAATTATTTCAGAAAAACTTCATGACCTACAAACTCATTCATAGTCAAGAGACTAATAAAACAAATCAACCTTTTAAGTTCTTGGTTTTCAGTGGATATGACTGAAAACCTAAGGTTTAAAGCAACACACTTTTTGACTTAATTCTATCTTTTTTTAAGCAAAAGATAATTCTAGAATTACTATAACATCCACATAAAGAAGAGGGGAAAGAACAAGGTAAAGGGATTAAAAAAAAAAAGAATACTAGGTAGGGACGGAGTGGGGGTTATGGTGAAAGAATTCCAATATGTCCAATAATACTGGCATTATATTATTTTATTATGGGGAAACAGTCCAAAACCAAATTCAGTGCTGGAATTAGCTCAGCAACATTGTTTCTCAGCCCTGGCTGCACATTGCAATAGGCATGAACAGCTATCATCTCTAGATTCTCTCCATTTAGTATGTCTATTTTTACAGTATTCCCAGATCAATTTAATTTTTACAGTATTCCCAGATCAATTTACTGTGCAGATATGGTTGTGAACTACTGCTCTCCCACAAAATATTAACCAAGATGGATACATGGTTTCCTAATTTGGGGATAATTTTGATTCTGATAAACATCTTTATAGTAAAATGTGATCTTGGTTCTTATCATACATGAGCAGTTTTTGCTGCTAATTGCATAGGAGTTTTTATTTCCTAAAAAAATACTTCGCTGCTTTTACTTATATTATTTTTTAGTAAGATATAGTTATATAGCTAATGGGCTACTTAAATTGCTTATATCACTTATCAATAATAGATAATATTTAATATGGTTTTGCTATGAAGTTGACACAAATGTAGGTGCTTTGCATAAGACAATTTTAATCTTTTTATTAGATCTACAAGATAGATACTATTATTATTTCCTGAATTTTAAATATGAGAAAAAATTGAAAAAAGAGCAGATTTTAAAACATACTTCAAATTACATGACTAGAGAGTGCTGAAAGTGGGGATTTGACTCAAGCATTTATGTTCTCAACCACCATACTCTATTAGAAGGCTCATTGCAGATCTGTTGAGCTAACCAGGTTACACCTACAATCATTTTGATATTTATGGAAAAGTGTTATCCATTCCCAACATTTTCAACATCTAAAGAACATTCACATATTTTTTATATAACCTTGTTGTCTGCTAGGGTTTACTTGTCATTAGGAAATATAGACAAACTTGGCTGAAACAGTAATGCTAACTTGCAACCCCATTGCTTGTGCAGTGTACACTCATATCCTGTGACTTTCCAGAATTCTTGGAGGCCTTGGCTTCCATGTTTTCCATTGGTTCCAAGAACTTAATTGTCATTCAAAGCCTTTATTTTCTCCAAATTTAAAACTTCTCTCTTCCATAGGTTTCTATATACATGCCAATGTACAAACACATATAACATGACTTTTATATAGCTTGTCTCAATTATAAAAATTTCTTGAGTTAAATAAAGCTTAACTCACATGGAACAAAGCCTCTGACATCATACAGGCCCCACTTTTCCTATCTCCTCTTTTTTTGCTGCATCTCTTCCTTTCCCTTTAAACCCCCAGGCTCCCAACTCTATCAAATAGCTCTACAGGAAAAAACAAACAAATGGCCTGTCTACTTCCTAAAAACACAGTTTGGGTTATCAATATTATCTTTTCATCCTGTTAACTAGATATCATCTTATTTATTCATTTCTTACTCTGCTGATTAATTTCCTATCTTTCAATTATTTATCTAGTGTATTTTCTAATTGGTCTCTTGGTTTTCCATTAGTGCATAATTCCCCATGAATCAAAAATGAAGTATTCATTGAAACTTCTTCTGAAGTTTTTCTAGGGATACTTATATTAGATGATAAAGGAAAGTCCATTAGCCCTTCTATTGGCTATAGTAAGGAAATAAGGTCTTCCTACATCCCTCATTATAATGATCATACCTTCAGACAATTTCAAATGCTTGGGAGTGTCTACGTAATACAGATTTTTATCAGAATAGAATCCCAAATAATATAATGGATAACCTGACCTGGCAAAGTGGTTTTGAATTTGACACCTTGGAAAAAAATAATTTCATAGCTTTGTTAAGTTTTTTTTTTTTAAGTATTTTGTTGCAAGGGTAATCACCTTATAGAAAAATCTCTGAACTTCAATGGATGAAATATTTTAATTATGCAAAATAATTTCAAAGATTTTGTATGGTAAATTACAGAGTTTGGGCAATGTGGACCAGATAAGTAAAGCTACTCTGCACGGTGCTATAAAACAATGAGTAAGGTGTATCTGCAGTTCACGTATCCTTTAGGAAATGTTTCTTAAAAACAATCCCATTATTGTTTTTCCCCCTTGGTCAATATGTATGTGGGCATGTGCTAGCGTGTGCATGTATGAAAATGTGTTTTCTTTTAAGCGATTCCCCAAAGACTTGTCAATATGTGTTTCTGTGTCTTGGCATACACAGTTTTCCATAAGACTACTGGGTAGTCATGCTGGTCCTATAACTTACGGAATTTGCAATTGTAGGGAAGATGTAGGCCAATATAAGATATCTGAGAGCTATCAAATAGGCATGGAATCAATTAGGGAGCAAGTATTATCAGAAAATTTCTTTTGGTACCTTGTCTGGGTTTTCACTTACTTCACTTCTTAATTTTTGTTACAGCTCTCCTCACCCCTGTTAAATATCCTAACATTGGGATGATGTAGGGCTCAGTCCCAGGCAGCTCTTCTTTTTGATCTACACTCCCTTCTGTGGGAAACTCATCTAATCCTGTGACATTAAATCTACTTTCACTGTTCATACTATCAGCAGTTCTACAACGTATATCTTTAGCTCTACCCTTTCCTCCAAACTCTAGACTAGATGTCCAAATGTTAATATCAGGGTCACTGTATCAGTCTGGTTCTGTAGGAGACAGGATATTATAGTTAGATAATTTAATGAAATTGAGGAATGTTTAGTCAAGGGACAATGTCAAAGGTCTGAGTAAGGTATAAGGGCACCACAAGAAAACACACTGTGCTCAACATCCAGGTGAAATGGGAGGTTACTGGAACCTGGAGTCAGAGAGGCTGTGTGGAGAAGACTTCTTTATAGAGGCCTTGAACTTAGTCCACAGGCAGTCATGGGAGCTGCCAACCCACGAGAGCCAGCAGAGAGGAGCCCAGGACCTCATACTTCCACTTTCCTCTTCCGCCTCCCACCTTCTGTCAATGCTCCCTATTAGCTGAACTCAACTAGAACCTGGTAAGTAAGAAAGGTATAGATACAGCTCTCAAAATTGGCCCCTAGGGCACAAAGCAGGATGGAGAAGCGTAGGTGTGAGTGTGAACTTGTTCTATATATGTGGAATGAGAGTATTCCAGGGAACTGTATATGAAAAGACAACAAGGAGAAAGCCCTCAGACCAGTAAGCAGTTCAACATACTTGGAATAAAGAAGTTGTAACGACAATTTATGAGGTGGATGAGATAAACAGCAGCCAGGTTATAAAAGTCTTTTCAACTAAATTAGAACTTTGGATTTAAAATTTTAAAGTAGAGAAGAGTCATGCTAGTATTTTCATTATAAAAGCAACACTCTGGCTTCTGACTGGAATCAGGATTGGACAGAGAGCAAGACCTGAGGCCAAAGGGCTAGTTAAAGGGTCAGCAGTGAGATTGCGAGAGCATGGATCAGAGGAGTGACAGGATAGAAATAAAAGACAGACTGATGAGAGATTTACAATGGAGAATTGATAGGATTTGGTGATTATTTAGATGCTGGAAGTTAAGAAAAAAAAGAAAAGTCAAGGACGATGTAGACATTTCTAGCAGATATTATTTAGAGGATGGCAGTGCTGTTCCCAGTGACAGAAAAGAGACTAGGAAGAATTAGGGAAGAAAATAATAAGTGAGGTTTTGCACATATTTAAAGATATTAAATTCAAGTTGCCTGTAGAACATTTTTGTAAAAATAGTCAGTAAAGACGCAGATGTATAGATGAGAGGCTCAGGAGAAAGAACAGCATAATAAATATAGTTTTTGTATTTGCATATTAATACTTATTAAAGAAGTAAAGGGAATAAGGAAATTAGATGCCAGTAGAGAATTAACCCTAGGTATGATTCACCGAATGTTTACATGTTTTTCAACATTCCCAGCTAAAAACAAGTTTAACAATTTTGTTAAAAAATAGATTTAATGCCAGTAGTAATACCTAGTTTCTAAAGCCCATCCTTTAAATTCTAATTATCTTCCACAGATACTCCCTTATTGTTGTTTACTGATTTAATGCCTTTATGGAGTAAAAACCTTCTTAAACAAGCTGTAGAGAAAATATTCTTGCAATATTACTGGGAAAGAAAATTCTAGATATCCAAATGGTACAATAGACTTTAAATTGTATAATTAGAATGCATTTTCATAGTCATTTAGTGGTTTCAGAGGTCTCACACTTTAGATAAGAAAGCAAAGGTCCAGGCAGTTATGTTAATGGATAAATCATTCTGAAACAAATTATAAAGAGAGTAAATATTTAGTTAAGACAATGATAAGTATTACACATGGGTTAATCAAGCATCACCACATAAAACAATGTCTGTGGTATAAGTTAATGAAGACCAAGGAAGATGGGGAGAAACTGAGCAATAAAGAGGAGCCACTGTAGGTTAGGCTGTAATAAAATATCACACTGATGATCTGAGCCTCACAACATCGATCTCCAGGGTTCCCAAAAAACTCCATGAAATATAAGCATATTTATACTTAAAGGCTGAAATATGGGAAGCTGCTACAAACATGGATACAAACATGGAAGCCGAAATTGCTCACATTTCATAAAAGACAAAAAAAAAGCTCACTGTCTTAAATGGAAAATGAACCAAACTCATGGAGAAGCAGATGTTTCCCTTTAGCAAAGCTTCAAAGCAGCAGGAACTCACATTCAGTCAGGAAACCAGCATCGAATGTTTACATGTTTTTCAACATTCCCAGCTAAAAACAAGTTTAACAATTTTGTTAAAAAATAGATTTAATGCCAGTAGTAATACCTAGTTTCTAAAGCCCATCCTTTAAATTCTAATTATCTTCCACAGATACTCCCTTATTTTTGTTTACTGATTTAATGCCTTTATGGAGTAAAAACCTTCTTAAACAAGCTGTAGAGAAAATATTCTTGCAATATTACTGGGAAAGAAAATTCTAGATATCCAAATGGTACAATAGACTTTAAATTGTATAATTAGAATGCATTTTCATAGTCATTTAGTGGTTTCAGAGGTCTCACACTTTAGATAAGAAAGCAAAGGTCCAGGCAGTTATGTTAATGGATAAATCATTCTGAAACAAATTATAAAGAGAGTAAATATTTAGTTAAGACAATGATAAGTATTACACATGGGTTAATCAAGCATCACCACATAAAACAATGTCTGTGGTATAAGTTAATGAAGACCAAGGAAGATGGGGAGAAACTGAGCAATAAAGAGGAGCCACTGTAGGTTAGGCTGTAATAAAATATCACACTGATGATCTGAGCCTCACAACATCGATCTCCAGGGTTCCCAAAAAACTCCATGAAATATAAGCATATTTATACTTAAAGGCTGAAATATGTGAAGCTGCTACAAACATGGATACAAACATGGATGCCGAAATTGCTCACATTTCATAAAAGACAAAAAAAAAGCTCACTGTCTTAAATGGAAAATGAACCAAACTCATGGAGAAGCAGATGTTTCCCTTTAGCAAAGCTTCAAAGCAGCAGGAACTCACATTCAGTCAGGAAACCAGCAGAGCCGCTGGAGCCATTTCTAAGTGGCTGTGAGAGCTGAGAGAGTGTCCTTGAAGACCTGTGCTCTGGTTAAAATGGAAGTGGAGGTTTTGGCAGCCTGCTTTCGGCTGAGTGCCAGCGACTTTGAAAAGTATGACAGCTAATGTGGCTGCCCAGATAGTTCTTTGGCTGCACCTCCGGTTGGAAGACATGATTTTGAAAGAACTCCATATAGGAATTCCATTTGGCAAGGATTTGCTTTTTGGCAAAGATATGGAAAGTCTTCTTGAATAAGCATTGAGGAATAAATTGTGTCTGCCTTAGGATAAAACTTCTGGGGGATAGGGAAAGAATTAGGAGGGAGATTATACAGAGGCAGAAAGTTTTCAGACTGGCAGGAGACACTAGAAATTTGCAATCAGTAAAAATGACCTGATTGTAACAAAAAAAGAGTTGGAAAGTTCTTCAAAGGATCTAGGAAAAAAGGGAGCTCGTCTGGCTGCTCAGTCACTGCTCTTGATGAGAAAACCAAATAATAAGGATCGTATGTGGGTCAGAAATGGGAAAATGTACACTTATTTCAAGAAAGCATTTGTCTAAATATTAAAAATGCTTTGCATTATGTAAAACAGATTTTACAATATAGAAACCTAGCACCACACTGATCATAAGTTCATGAAACGCTGACCTAAATTTGCAGGCCCGGATTCTTCTGTTACCTGCTGCCTGAGATCTCTTGGGGAACCAGCTACCTTTGGGTTATTAGTGTGAAATCTAACATGTAACACAGTGAGGAGCTTTCAGTGCTAGGATTGTCACAATGCCTAACAGTGTCCGCATTCCTCCCTGGCATTCAAAATGTCATCAGGTCTTTGACTCTGTCAGTTCACGAACAGCTTTTGATGTAGAAAAAAAGGCATAGTGTTTTGCCACTAGTTGTTAATAAAAGGTTATATTGATTTTTATACCCCTCTTTTAGAATAGGTAATCATGACTGCTTAAGTCTTGTGAGAAAAAAATTTTTTCCCTCTTATTTTACTTGCTAAATCAGGCAGCAAATTTTAGGGACAGTTTTATGAGTACAGGAGATCTCGTCATGACTTTCTATTGCTATTAAATATATAAATTCATTTGGATAGAGTCCAATACTGGTGAACTGAGCAACAAATTTTGTTCTCTATAAAGCACTGATAGTAAAGATCGTGTTCAATCCTTTACCTAGTTTGTGAGCTTATTTCTTTTTGAAGAAATGTGTTTTATGACTTGAATTCCAGTAGTGGTGCAGGAAAGATGGACAAGACATACTTAATGTAAATGAGAAGGCAAAGGAAAGAGGCACTGGAAAGGAGATGAATATACAGTTCTGGTGATTAAGAACTTATAATTTAGAGAAATCTATGAGGTTGAATACCAGTTCTGCCAATTACCTACACAGGTAACCTCATCTAATTTAAATAAGCCCTGACAATTACTGGGTAGGATGTTTGGCACATAATAGGTATACAAAAATATATATATTCTCTGTGTCCTGTCAATGATATTACAACTACTGATAGGAAATATCTGAGAGTTAAATCCATATCTTCTCACTCCAAAAGAACAACATAAAAATGCCTTAAATTGGTGTCAAGAAGTAAAGATATTTGATAATAATTCAATGAAAGAATCAAGGTGCAAAATGTAATTATAATTTAAAAATTAAATAGACTGCTGCTGTTCTGACGATTTAGAAAATGCTTAATCAAAAGGCAATTTTACCCAGTTACTTGAGGGTATTTGACTTCCATGGATAATTGCCTAACATAAACTCAGAGGACACATATTTACAGTCAGCAGTTTTGAGAAACAGTAGCACAGAGTATTGAAGTCTTACTTGTGATAGCCATCGTCTTTGAGGTTAGTGGAGTGAGTATAGATTGCTTAGCTCAGAAGATTATATCTATGAAATTACAGATGAAAATATTTGACTGTAGTAATATCACAAAATGATGTGAATATCATTACATTCACTATAAATTTCTGCAAAAAATTTACTAAGTATCTTACTTTGGTATTTCCTAAGTAAATGCTTCTACTGTACACATTGTTTTCAGTAGATTATTAAAATCTTAAAGTCAGGGTCTTATCTATAGGTAATAAGGGTCATACACAATGTATACTGGACACACTTTGCAAATATAGTAAATTGAGGAAAATACAAATTAATAAATAAAATCATTAAGGAAGCAATAAAGGAAAGTCAGTTTTCAGCAACTAAAGTAAAACAGGTAGATCAAAAATGTGTGATTAGTTTGGCTGAAATTACTGAAGAGTCTCTTCTACTTGCCTTGAAAATTATTAGGCACAATTTCCCCCAAATTCTAAAGAAGCTGATGATCAATTTGTCTTATCACTTTCCTGACAAAAAATTATAATATGCATGGGAAATGAAATATATTGAATAATTAAACAAAGAAAAATTGGATTTTCAATTAGAGTCAATAATTTATAAATGAATGTTGGGTTTAATATGTACGAATTTTTCTCAAATAACGAGTCAGTTTGTAACAGCTAAAATATACATTTGCAAGGGTAAAGAGCTTACCACAACATTTCTTATACAGTTGAAATATTCATTCTATGGTTTTGAGGTAATTGGTAAAAAAGCATATTATGTTCCAAACTATAAGATGAGCATAATAATATTTATTTCATGAAATGAAAGGAATTCATATACAGTGCATTTGATAGTCCTGCTACATAGTAAGCACAGTGTTAGTGTTTTCACATTGGCTTTTATTATTTTAAATAATAAGTCAAACAAGTCAAGTCTCTAGACTGAATATAATTGAAGAAGAGTTAGTGCTGTAACCCAGAAAAAAAATCAGCAAAGGTAGATGATAACCATAAATTCAAATTGTTAGTTACATAACAATTAATATAGTAATAGGTGCTTATTTATTTGTTTCAAAACAAACACTTCATAGGATAGACAAAGAAAGGAAAATGGAAATAGCATTAAACCGGAAGCTATCTTTAAGTCATAGCCATAGGAAACACCATTAGCATTTGCAAAGTAATAGCATGTATCCTTGTGATAGGATATATCTGGAGATTCTCAGGTATACATGGCTTACATTAACCTAAACTTTCTTACAGTTAGTAATACTTAGAGTGAACTCAAAGAAAGAAGCATGTGGGAAAGCAGCAAGACAGTATCCATTCCTTCCAATTCTGTCTTATAGACATAAAGGAACCGGGAATTATACATTCCTCTCCTGACTTGACTAGGTCAATCTTCTATCTTACTGTGATGCTGTCCAATACAGAAACCAAGAGCCACAAGTGTTTATTAAAATGTTAAAAAAAAATTAAATACAGTAAAAAATTAAGTTCTTATTTACAATATCCACATTTGAAGTGCTCAGATGCTAAATGTTCTATTGGACAGTACCAGGATTTACAAGGGAGTCTGAGATCAATTTCCTTTACCCTCTAAAAGCAAAAGAAGATTCCAGACATTTTCTGCCAGTCTCACTCTCGTCCTCTCCCTCAAAGAATGTACTCTATGTTAAAATAACACAGAACAAAACTTAAATCCTTAACATTGCCCAACATCAAAGGTGGATCAAAAAATGACTTGGGAAGTCAAAAATGAATGTTCAGGTTATGAAAGAGTGGAACTAGGATGTACTGTCAATTTATCACTACTTAATATGTAATTCATTTATTTATTTTTTCTGTCTAATTCACCAGAAATTAAAATTCTTATAATAGTGATGTGGGAGCTAATATTAGTTGTGATCAAGAAGCAATGCAGCAAATATTTAACAAAAAGATCACCCATCATGATCAAGTAGGATTTATGCCAGGGATGCAAGGATGGTCTAACATTCGAAAATCCATCAACATCATTCACCACATCAACAAAAAAAAAAGGACAAAAACACATGATCATTTCCATAGATGCTGAAAACGCATTTGACAAAATTCAACATCCATTCATGATAAAACTCTCAACAAAATGGGTATAGAGGGCAAGTACCTCAACATAATAAAGGCTATATATGACAAAACCACAGCCAACATCATACTTAGAAGTGAGAAGCTGAAAGTATTTCCATTAAGATCAGGAACAAGACAAGGATGCCCACTCTCCCCACTTCTATTCAACATAGTACTGGAGGTCCTAGACATGGCAATCAGACAAAAGAAAGAAATAAAATGCAGAAGAAGTTAAATGGTCCCTGTTTGCAGATGACATAATATTGTACATAAAAAACCATAAAGACTCCACTCCAAAACTACTAGATCTAATATCTGAATTCAGCAAAGTTGCAGGATACAAAATTAATACACAGAAATCTGTTGCATTCCTATATACTAATGATAAACTAGCAGAAAGAGAAATCAGTAAAACAATTCCATTCACAGTTACATCAAAAAGAATAAAATACCTAGGAATAAACTTAACCAAGGATGTGAAAGACCTATACTCTGAAAACTACAAGACACTCATGAGAGAAATTAAAGAAGATACCAATAAATGGAAACACATCCTGTCCTCATGGATAGGAAGAAATAATATTATCAGAATGGCCATCCTGCCTAAAGCAATCTACAGATTCAATGTAATCCGTATCAAAATACCAACAGCATTCTTCAATAAACTATAGCAAATATTTATGAAATTCATATGGAACCACAAATGCCATAGCAATCTTGAGAAGGAAGAATAAAGTAGGGGGGCGGGATTATGCCCTGACTTCAAGCTCTACCACAAAGCCGCAGTAATCAAGACAATTTGGTACTGGCACAAGAGCAGACACATAGACCAATGGAACAGACGAGAGAGCCCAGATATAAACCCAAGATATGGTCAACCGATATACAATAAAGGAGCCATGGGTATACAATGAGAATGAAACTAGATCATTGTTTAACTCCATACAGAAATGTAAACATGAAATAGATCAAAGATCTGAATGTACGTCATGAAACCATAAAACTCTCAGAAGACAATATAGGCAAAAATCTTCTGAATATAAACATGAGCAACTTCTTCCTAAACCTATCTCCTCAGGCAAGGGAAACAAATAAAAAATGAACAA